CCCCCCCCCGGGGGGGGGGGGGGAGGATCTCGGGAAAACATTTCCGAAAGACGAAACAAATTTTCGAATCTTTCATGGCATACGAAGCCCCGAAGATGTTTGCTATCCAGAATATTAAAGCCGTTTTTTATTAGACGCACCAGATAGAATATCAGTGTATCGTAATTGAGAGAATTGAGTCAATTATTGACCAAATACAAACAAAAATACACATATTTTTACGCATAGACATATTACATAAGTGATAAACCGAAAAACATTCACCGATTTACGATTTGTAAATTGTTATGCATGTAAATGCCATGATTTCGTAAATCAGTTTACACTGACAATACAATTCTATAATATTTTCTCTGTTTAACAACTAAAATTTCGTTATACTATTATTGCCGTAATTTTCCGAATGGCCAACGCGATTTTCCGAATATGCTAATTCTAAAAAAGTTGGGGGTGGGGGGCGTTAACCAACCCCAATCCCTCCCTCGCTACGGTCCCGAGCGAAAAACAACATGAAAATGAATGCCTATTGCATCTCTACGATTAAAGAAATAAACTACAGCTAATTCAAAAAAGGTTGTCCATTGCAAACCTTGAACTCTAAACTTTAGACTTTAAACTCTAAGCGTGCAAAGCATAATGGGAACATTTAATCAGTTACAATCTTGTGCACCGAGCCCGAGTACGTCATTAGCTGCCATGCATCAATCTTGCAAGTATATTGTGGATTCACTCGTGTTCCATTCGTGTTCTGACTCGTGTGGAGTTTTAGATCAGATCTTTTACAAGACGAGATTGTTTGGTGCCGAGATCGAAGTTTATTACAATGTGGGCACCATGGCATACGTTAATTCTCTCAAATTAAATGGCTACATATATGCAGGACGTTTTAGATTTGACTTACACAGGAAATTTTTATTTTTGGCTTTTGCTGCCATGCAGGAAGAGAAATATAATTTCGAGTATTTAATATGCTATTCTGAAATTTAGTGATTTGAAATTGCACACATTGTATATTATTATTTCCTGAAATAATTATTATTTCCTGAAATAATACACTGATACTTAGTGTAACAAAAAAGACCTGAATTTACTTCAACCTGCAATATATCACAACATGCATTATATCCATTATTAATGTTATATATTCATTTATAGATATTTCCTTTTTTTAATAAATTCCCACGTGTAAAATGCGCGGATCTACATATTTTAGACATTAGGCAATCAAATATTTTCTTGGACCGTCCGTGCCGCCCAACAGTACTTCACAAATTAGTCCAAGTAGATATACATGGTATTATTTTCCATAAAAGTGAAGTGCTTTGAAAACATATTTACGACAAAATATTAGTTGATGTGAGGCTTTGTTTAACACAAGTAAGATGCATCGAAGTTGCTTTTCAAAAGAAATTTTATAAAGAAAAGATATCGACAAAAACTGGTATGTAGTTCTGTAATATAGATATCATAAATTATGTGAAATTATGGGACAGACATACGGATAAGAGTACAAAATTCCGATCGTATGTAAATAAGTTACAGTATTTTAACAGACCAGTCTTTAATCGTAGTTTACATACAAGATTTACCTCAAGTTGTGTAGGACATGTGTCAATTTTCACATTGCTATTTATATGTCTATTCTAAAAAATTGAATATTCATACGACGTATATATAGTCCGAAATTCTTGTGTTGGTTCAAATGGATGATCTTAGTCTGGGTGTGTCATAATTGAACATCGTTTTACATGCATATTTCTGATTTCGGATACGTTTCCCCTCTTAAAGCTTTTTGTTTTGGTGAATTTCGTATAATCAAGGGCCACTGGTGCAAATCACATGCGTGTAAAGTCGCATACGTCAAAAGAAGAATTGGAACGCGTGGATCTTAACAGACAAAGTCGGAAACTAGACTTATGTATATTAGACCGATATTTAACAACTGTAGCTTATTATAAAGATTGCATTATGTTATTCAAATGTGAGGAATAGAAAGTATTCCAGAATAAAGTCTTGTAGTTTGTGACTGAACATCTTAAACAAATACTTCAACGTTTCGCACAAACCACGACAGCTAAATTAAAAAGTACATGCACAAAATATGTTTATTTCGTCGACCATGACATGGTAACGAGGCTCTAAATAAACAATCTCTTGTCCTAATTCATACAAACAGAGCTTTATTTTGACTTCCATCGTTATACACTCACATAACTGATCATTAACACTTGAATATAATACGTTCAACTCCATGGTAGAGCTAAATATCCTGTAGTTCTTTGATATATTACTTCCCTCCTGTTGTCAGAGCATAATAAGACTTTTGTACAAAATCATTGTCCTTATGTACCTCTCTGAAGGAGCCCTCACTGGAGGATGACTGAGTATACAGAGCTTTTCATTTGCGAATGCAATTTAAAGGAACCTGTCATTCGATTTATATTGTATTTAAGAATTCCAGTCAGCGGGATGACTTCCCACCTGTTCATTTGCATAAACCGTAATGAGGACTTCTTGCAATGACTTGCTGGAGAAATTTCAAATGAGCAATTGGTCTATTTGGATGCACGGCGCATACAGTTCTAGCAGACAAACTTCATGTATCTTTCTTGCTTTTTCATGAAGTTCCTGAGTGTAAACAGATGATTTCCGTGCGTCGCTTTTGTTTTGAGCAAATATTCATTATTATGAATGAAAGATATACTTGATTAAACATGCTAATTTTTCTCGTACAGTCAAAGTGTCCACTAAGTGCTAGATCTTAAGGAAAGATGTCTGTTCTATAATTATAAAGACAATGTAAATTTCTAAAAGCGACGAGTAGGGTGGATTGGTATAAGTGTCTCCAACTTCGTTCTTCGATGTTTCATAATGTGGAAAGTGGCTAATTCACTGCAGAATTCTCGAATACAATGCCATAGTGCGAAACATACAGTTAGAGCAGTTTTTCAAGCGGATAATTCTAGCTGTCAAATTTAAAAACGCTATAACTATGAAACCATCACGACATCGGGCAAG